AATTATCTTTTTTTATGTGTGTAGCATGAATAAACTGCTAATCTCAGTTCCTGCTGAGCTCAGCATAAATATTATCAGTACTTACTATTATTCATTACACTTCTATTGGTCATATACTGTAGCATGCATTTACTTCCATCTCTCTATATATTGTCATATATTGTATAATAATGTACATACTTGTATTTTTCTATTTCTTATTTTATATTATATGTATATACCTATATATACATTCTCTATTTTCTATTTCTATATTGTGTTAGATATAGTAATATAATCATTATTTATATTCTTTAATGTCGTGTGAGCACCTTGAGCACCTGTAACAAACAAATTTCCCCCTGGGGATCAATAAAGTATTTCTGATTCTGATAACTTTCATGTCGTTATACAACCTTGTGTTTTATAATAATAAATAAATGTTTCCTTGAATACAATACTCAAGTCATAATTATGAGACGAATTAACTTTTTTGCTGATTGCAATTGTTCTATGCTGAGTAAAAAACATCTAAAATATACAAAAATATCGAATTGTACATCTATTATTTCTTCAAAGAAGAATAAATCATTCCATTGAAATTTGGGACGATTTTACTCAACGCTGTGAAACCTTCAATGAGACCCGCTTCCCCTTATGTCACGTTCCCTTTCCGTTTGCCTCTCCACTGCAGTTTGATGAAGGTTTTTCTATAAGGCCATCGAAGCCCTGCTAAGCCACACACAGCTCTATACATACAGGCCTCAGTCGCAGAGTGCAGGGCTGATTATTCCCCTCAAGTGCTGCCGCCGCAGCAGGACTTTGAAGTTTCGCATTCATCCATCTCTTTCTCTCCTCTCCCTCCTCTATCAGTGTCTCTGTCTTGCTCATGACTAATACCATAATGATGTTAAGAGGCAGAGGAGGAGGGGATTTAAATTAGAGCGCCGTCTTTCTCTCTCATTGTATTTAATGGCTCTTATTGTGAGAGCTGTCAGGCCGCAAGGGATCCCTGAAGGAGGGATAGGGCCATTCCTTCTGCTGCTCTGAAGAAAGGATGAAGGGAGAAGTGGATCAGGAGAAGGAGTACGGCCAGCGTAAGAGGGGTAAGACCAAAGTACCGAGATGTGAGAGGCAGAAAGAGAGTGCCAGCGGTAAGTGTCCAAGCTCCTTTCTTGGGTTTTAATTAAAACACCCTGAGGAATTCTAAACAAGCCTCTTCTTTCTTTCTCCGGGTTCAAAACTTAATGTGTTGGAAAACTCGGACGGGTTATAATGGGAAAGCGCCGAGAGAGGAGCCGAAGAGGAGGACACTGAAAGCAAACGAGAGGCTGTTTACAGATAAAGCCATTCCCGTTGCTCGTTAATCAATTAACTCATTCATTCTTAATGAAAAGACTAATTAACTCCTGGTAAAAGGGCCATGGGAGGCTCGTGAAGGAGAGATGATTGCAGAATTGGAGAAGTGCTGAGAGCTCTCTGGAAAAAAATAAACAATAGTGTGAGCAAATCAGCCTTTTAAAATTAGACTCGTAGTATAATGCTCTGCTTTAATAGTTGAAAACCGTTCAATCAGGAGAGACTTCATTCTGAATCAACAAGCACGACACACACAATAATAAGGAAAAACGTGATTAGACCCCATCAAGACAACATCATATTTTAAGGGGGTGGTGAAGTATAGGAAACCCCTGTGATGGAGTAGGGACACTTTTGCTACGGGCACTGGATGTGATGAACTGGAGGTGGATGGGGTGAAGGAGGGTCACAACGATTCCACACTGAACTGACACACTGACTGAAATAATGCTGAGCAACATTTGAAGAAATTATTTTTTATCCAAATCACTCCTCTGCTGTCTTCTTCCATGCACCAAATGTGTGTCCTTTTTATTCTAAAGTAGGATGAAAAGATTGTTGTTTGGGCTTTGCCAATGCATTACCCTCACATTTAATAGGAAAGTCTATGCCAATATTTCCATCTAAAAACTTTCTGATTCTGCTCGTCTTTTGATATTGATATTGGATCACTCTGTTGGCAGAGATGTTTTAAAGACCAAGTGCATTTAGGTTGCTGGACTCGGTTGAGACCAACAAGAATATTTGGCGAGACCATTGGCCAAGATAATAGAAAAAATTATAGTACTCTTTGCTGAACTTGAGTACTAGAATTTACAGCAGTATAGTGCTTGTCTGATCAGCATATGTTCAACGTCTCTATATCTCTATGTTACACCACGCTTTCATCCCTACTAGTAAATATACTAATAATAGCAAATAATACAAGTTTGACACATTTTGGTAGTATTGATTTCTTCAATCAATGTACATTTACTCAATTTCTTTGCAGCAAGACACTGCACATTTATTTCCCATATGTTCTGTGTTCAATATGTGCTATTGCATTTGATATTTTCAATTTGTAAATCTTTTTGTATTCCTATCAGCTGTGATATTCACTCTGTTTTCCAATGGATCTTTAAAGGTTGGTTTAATCTTGTTATTTTATTCCACACCAACCCTGTTCTTGCCTGTCCCTGCCTCCTCTGACCATGCTGCTCACTTCCCTGGAAAATACGGTAAGAAGGGAAGTTAGTGGGAGTGGGTAGCGGTTGGATTTTAAGTATCCAGGCTCCTTTGAGCAAGAGAGAGAGAGACTATAAAAGAGGCAGTGAGGCATGCTGGAGGACAGGGAGTGATCTGCTGGCTTTTTCTACCTGAGAGGAAACACAGGACACACACACACACACACACACTCACGCAAACACCATGCCAATGGCCTGTCAAGTGCAGCTGAGAGAGGCTGTGAGTGGGGCAGTAACAATGGGCCCCTGGGGATACAGGGTGACCCCTGGGAGTCTATAATTCAGAAAGGGGTTAGTCTATCATTCACATACTCACACACACTCTCTGAACAGACTCACAGGGGCAGGACAGGCAGTTCATTATCACTGAGGAAAAGGCAGGGGGAGGAGGAGAGAGGAAAGATAGGAGGAGGGCTGAAAGGAGGGGAAGGAGAGGGGAAAAAAAGCAAAAGAGAAGGTAAATAGAATTCGGTAGTGAATGAAAACAGCAAAATAAGCTTCAGTTTCTACATGAACAACATTAGAAAGAACAATAAGGAGCATAAAGGTCAGGTCCATGGGGGCTACAGATCCCTGAGGACTTGTGTAATAGAAAATTAAACAAATAGGATATCACATATAAATAAACATTTCAAACATCAACTTATGACTTTTCCTCATGAAGGTCAGTGATCACTAGCAGTACAACATCACTGAACTAGTTTTGGAATTCAGCGTCTATGGAATGGAACTTTTTGGCTACATACACACTGCCAGCCTTAGTGCTCAATTCTGATTTATTGTCCAGATCCGATTTAGTTTTTTGTTTGTTTCAATGTGACTCATATCAGATTCCAGTGTTAACCGGTTATGGTCATGAAGTGACCCACATGACTAATGTCAATATAGATCAACATAAAAGTGACATGAAGTCTGATATACAGTGGATATAAAAGGTCTACACACCCCTGTTAAAATGCCAGGTTTTTGTGATGTAAAAAAATGAGACAAAGATAAATCATGTCCAAACTTTTTCCACCTTTAATGTGACTTATAATGTGAACAATTCAATTGAAAAACAAACTGAAATCCTTAGGGGGAAAAATAAAAACTAAAAAACTTACAATAACCTGGTTGCATAAGTGTGCACACCCTTAAACTAATACTTTGTTGAAGCACCTTTTGATTTTATTACAGCACTTACAGTCTTTTTGGGTAGGAGTCAATTAGCATGGCACATCTTGACTTGGCAATATTTGCCCACTCTTCTTTACAAAAGCGCTCCAAATATGTCAGATTGCCAAGGCATCGCCTGCGTACAGCCCTCTTCAGATCACCCCACAGATGTTCAATGGGATTCAGGTCTGGGCTCTGACTGGGCCATTCCAAAACGTTGATCTTCTTCTGGTGAAGCCATGCTTTTGTTGATTTGGATTTATGCTTTGGGTCGTTGTCGCTGAAAGGTGAAATTCCTCTTCATCTTCAGCTTTCTAACGGAGAGCCTGAAGGTTTTGTGCCAAAATTGACTGATATTTGGAACTGTTCATAATTCCTTCCACCTTGAATAAGGCCCCAGTTCCAGCTGAAGAAAAACAGCCCCAAAGCATGATGCTGCCTCCACCATGCTTCACTGTGGGTATGGTGTTCTTTGGATGATGTGCAGTGTTGTTTTTGTGCCAAACATACCTTTTGGAATTATTTATTCTTTATTATTATTATTATTATTATTATTACTATTCTCTTTGTGAAAACGTTATCAGTCATTGGCTTTTTTGGTATTGCTGCAGCCTGGTAGTATCTGTCAACTGGTCTTGACGTTTTCTGTCCCCTAGTGGCCCAGACTGATCAGGCTGAAGCATGTTTCATGATAGATGAGAGACTCAAATACACATCTTAGCCATAGTCAGTAATCACTCAACCCCTAACACACACTGACACACACAATATGGTTAGATGATAATGATGATGGGCCCCATGTGTAACATGTTGCCAACATGCAACCGCATATGGTTCCTTGTATGTGTATGTGTTTACATGGTTACCAGTGTCTGTGTGTGTTAGAAGATACCACACAGAGCTGTGACTAAAGGAGCAAAATACAGACATTTCACACACACACACACACACACACACACACACACACACACACACACACACACACACACACACACACACACAGAGAGAGACACACACACACAGCAGTTTTTCAGCTCATTAGGCAGAGGGTTGCGTGTCTAATCAGGTTTTGTGTGGACGGTGCAGGGTCATTATGATCTAATTTACCTTTAGTGGTTATTCAGCTGGGCAGAAAGGGAGGGAAGAGGAAGGAGGAGGAGGGAGGGAAGATGGTCCAGATCTGAGTGGAACAGAATGTTTGTTCTTCACACTAATAAGAAAGCATAATTCCTGTGTAACACTATGGATTCAATTACTAGGCAGTTTGAGCTGCAGTGTGAACTATGATGTATATTTTGTTTTTTTAATGATTTATTGAAGCAAGTTGACATTCTCACTGTAGATCAAAATTAAATTTAAGTTTAATTTCAATTCAGTTCATTTTCAATTTTAATTCTGGCTGTACATAATTGAATTGTTTCATCATTGTCTATTAAGTTGTGTTATCGGAAGATAAAGACATGAAATTAATAATAGAGAGATTTATTTTATCCTTGAGGCACCACCTGTAGCAACTGCATTTCTTTACAAGTCAATCTAATACTATTCAGTTTCTTATATTCTGCAGAAGAAATACTAAAAAGGACTGCATCATAAATTATACACTAAAATTATACACAAAACTATATTGGATAATAAATGGAAGAGGAATGTGGATATGAAATGAAATCAGATCAGATATCAGAAATTAGACAACAGTTATGGATGAAATGTAATGAATTAAATAAATAAATACATAAAAAATAAATGTAAATGTTTGAGTGATATTAGAATGTGGGGGTCAGTTATAGCTGATAATTGAACTTAGATCATTAGACTGCATTAAAATAAATAGTGAAGGCTGCAGTTATGAATATAACGTCTCTCAAAGATACAAACTCATGGATAATTATCATCTGTAGTTCCTTTCAGCTCTATGAAGCATTTTAGCAACTTTCAGCTAATTGTTCTGGCTTTAAGGCACTCTCTCATCGACCTCATTTGTAGCTGCAGCAACAAGCAGCCGATTTCATTGAAAAAGCTTGGATAAAGTCACAACGTACCACCTGCCCAGCACCAAACTGCAGACAAGGTTGGGGACTAGCTTGTGAACAGAGACATACATATTTTTTGCCTGCCATCAAAGTCAGGTGACGTAGTATAACGAGAGAGAAAGTCCACGTGTGGAGGTGGTGGGGTGGAAGGATGACTCAAATAAACACATGAGGCCGCTGTTTGTGTCCCGAAAACAAAAGTCAACAATTTCTGTCTTTACCTAAATCTAACCAAGTAGTTTTGACCTTATTTCGTGAACCGACATTACATATTTATTGTTACTAACTTGACTGGAAGTTGAGGAGGCTATATAGTTGCTTACTTGACCAGAAGTTGAGAAATGTCCAGAAATGACACTAGAGGGATACCTACAGTCTCATATTTTGAAGCACAGGGATACTGACGAAGCTGCAGTATTTGACAATTTGGGAGTGAGAACATGCTTGATGCACAGGTGACACTTACAACATGTTAGCAATGTTGACTTTATAAGGCCATAGCATGTCATGGAGGTTTAAAGTAACAAATAACTACACAAAACCTGACTAAAACTAAAAGCGAAAAAAACACCTTTATATTATAACAATGAAAGTATTCTTTCGTTAAGCTAGGCTAACCACATCCTGGACCACAGATATAGACGACTACTGGGCACAATGACATGTAAATTAAATAAATCTTCCGAACATTCCAACATTTCAGTATGTAGTGTTGGATAGGGAGAATGTCTGTCAGTTATATTACTGTAATAGTGAGCAATTTGTCCAAATCAAATCCTATGTCTCCTTCTTTCTAAATGTCAATGTCATGTAGGGGCCAACTGGCCCTAACTTTGGACCTCAGGAGCTGGTGAAATTCCAAGCTGTTCTCTGGTGCAGGAACATGTATACATGGAGGTCCACTTCCTTTGTTCAAGTGTGTTAAATGGGTTAAAGAGTGGTGTCCAGAAGCAGCAGTGTGTGTCCTGCTCAGCGTGCAGGGATAAAGCCTCCATATGGCACTGGTCAGTCAGCTCCAGCACCCAGCCAGGAGGGCCGACCACCTGTCAATCAAACAGGGCTCACACAACAATAGGAAGGAATAACTCCTCTCACCCCATACACACACACACACACACACACATGTACACACACACACACACACACACACACACACACACACACGTACACACACACACAAACACACGCACAGTCCTGTTTACTTGGGACACTTTTGGAGACATCAGACCTAAATTCATTTCCTGGACCCTAACCCTAACCCTAACTACAACTTGTCTAACCCTAACCTTTAACCACTGCCCAAAAAATCTACTTTTTTTCAAATTGGGGACATGGCTTTTGTCCCCAATTGGACAAGCTGTCCCAAATCAATTAACTGGTCTTTAGTCTCAAATCTGTGCCTGAAGGTAGCCTAAGTCAGACCAGAGGACAAGCTTAGACATATCTTTCACATTTCTTTAGGGACAAGCTGCAAGACAAATTCAACCTACCTAACACGCATCCCAGTTTATTTAGTTAATAGCCATAAAAATCTCTACCAATCCGACTTGAATCACCCTTCATTACTTGCAAAACTCCAGCCTCTCAGCACTGAGAAATTTAAATAGACAACCACAGCCATGCTTTCAGGCTGTTTACACTCTCAGGTCCTGGTTCATGCACCCAGTTTTGAACCGTTTGGAGCATTTTGACCAAACATAAATTGGTTCCCAGCTGGAACAGATTGCTTGGATGCAGGTTTTCCTTGCACAAACAAAAGGGGGCATGTCTTATTCTACAGGTTGTTGTGCATTGTGCAGTGCCCTCTATAGAGGCAGCATCGATTACAATGGTTCCACTAAAAACTGTTGGAAACACGGACTGGTTCTTTAGATAGCACCAAGGTTACATGCATCTTGTACTGAACTGGTTCAAGTACCAGAACTAATTTGGGGAAAAAGGGAGTCTTGACCTCAGCATTCCAAGGACATCATCCTTCTTCTTACTCTGAGACCTGTCAGCCATCACACCGTATCATCTTATAAGAAGTTCATACTTATCTCTATAATAATAGTAAAAAAGGTTATCCTACTCAGCTGGAAAAAGATAAACCAAGCCTCAATTCCACAGTGGCTACAACTCTCATCATCACTCTAATATGAAACCTTCCACAATGAAAGACAAGATTGAATTGTTGGCTGCCATTTAATAACTTCATAAAAGAGAGCTGTAACATGTAATATCCCTACGTCAAGGGAAACCAGCGATCTACCAGACATGTGACTCAAGTAATTTGGTTCAAGTCTCAATAAAGACTTAAGTCCTTGTTTTTTTCTTGGTCAAGCCAAGTCACAGGTTAAGTCAAGTATGTAAGTCAAATCCTTGGTTATAGCAAGTCAAGTCACTTCTCTCTCCAAGATAATGCAGTCTTACTTGCAGGATCCAGCCTTTATAAAGAGAAAAGACAAGGTATTATTACCTGTCTAATAATAATATTATCAGCAATGAACTGAACTTTTATTATATTCAGTGAAATACATCTAATCAAACTACAGTGTTGCCACAACATAAAATTGAATAGTGAATTAGATGACACGCAAAAATGTGATCAACATTGCAACGTATAGATTTAGATTAAGTGATGATGATGACCTGATTGGTGCCAAATGGCTCTTCATTTAGTACCACTTCTGGCTTTTATAATTCAGCAAATGTTAGCAATGTTTTGACCTATGATTGGTATATGTGCACATACAGCACATGTATAGGATATAATGGCATCTAGTGGTGAAGTTGTAGATTGAAACTAACTGAACACTGCTCACATCTGTATTTGATGACCTGGGAATGGTCATGGCTGTGAAGTGTGTTGGAGGAACTACAGTGCCCTTGAACTTGCAAAAACGTGAAAGACAAAAAATGTTGATGTTAAGTGCTTTGTTATTGTAAATGTAGCATTAAAAGCAAAATATAAAATTTAAAGGACCAGTGTGTAGGATTTAGTAGCATCTGGCAGTGTAGCTGCAGATACTATGTATTTGTGTTTTATCTCCTGCTCGATACCTATCAGATCATAACCTAATAAATCTACATTTTGTACCACAGTCATCCAGTGAATTCCCAGCAGGACCTTGTGTGTGCGTCTCCATTCACTTCATTCCAAGCACTTGCATTAATCTTTTGTAATAACACTTCAACTCTTGCGCTCGTCTATGCACGCTGAAATTGTGTTTATCTTTTCAAACGCTTAGAGAAGTAATTCACTGACAATCCTTCACTCAAACTGCAGCTCCACTACAAATCAAAGCCTCTTAATGATGCCATTCTTTTGACGCTGTATTTCAACCATTGGCAATTCTTTGGGAAGCTTTTGGCACATTTGATTAGGAGATTAGCAAAAACAGAAAATTGGTAGAAGAAAAAAAATAAGAAAAGCAGCTTTGCAGGGCGTTTACAGATTTCAATTGTGTCCGCTGACAGAGGGCAGGGTGTGTGGTCGAGGTCTTCAAGTGCTACTTGGGAGCCACACTCACATGTTTGGCAGGATTGGAGCTCTGATCTGCTTGATCAGTGAACTGACAAAAAATCTTTTCTGTGGAACCACATTAAAGCTGGCATACTCTGCTCTCACTAACCCGCATTGAGTTATGAGTCTGTATAATGTCATGTTAAGGGAATTCAGGAAGCTCGGACAGCAGGTTAGAACCAGCAGCTAATGACAGAGCCGTCGGGTTAGGATAGAGCACCAAACCACCGCTTTTTCCAGAATCATCTGGAGACTCATGCCAGCCTTCCCATGACCCAGCAGCACTGGGTCCTGACCCAGTGTGTGGTCTGATCAGTTGACCTCAATTTGCACTTCAGATTCACAGCAAAAAAACGCCTTTACAGAAAGTCTGTGTTTATAAAGAGAAGCAGCAATTTCCCAAATCCCTTCAATCTGAAATCAGCTCCATAAAATACTGTAGAGTTAGCGGGGTGGAGTGAGGCTGGGCAGTGGTCAGCCTAATGCTAACTTAATAAAAGCTTCAGATCAAGGAGGTTGGATGACCACAAACACTCATTTGTGTCTACATCTGTTAACATTCTTCTATCTCAACAACAAACGCAGATGTGACCTTGTTGGAAGATATTCAGTTCCTTTGCATAAAAATCCCCTCCAGACATGTATTTACATGACCATTGACTGATTAAGAAACATCTGACTTTCAAACTATTTGTGATGTCGGCCCGCCTCCTAAAATCAGCTTTTCAATGAGCACAGAGAAACTTTGTGAAAACATCCTTACTAGAGTCAAACTCTGCACATACAGCATTCAAACAGCACACTGTAGGAACAAGAAGACACACTGATTTCTGACTGGAGGGGGGCTTTAGCAGAAAGATAAACTTTTAAACAGCCGTAAAATTCAGTAGAAAGTATGATACATTATAGTAAAACTACTCTATTATGAGTACAAGCCCTGCATTCAAAATCCTATTTAATGAAAGTATTATAGGTTTTATCAGCAATATGTCCTTAAAGTATCAAAAGTAAAAGTAGTTTTGCAGAAAGATAGCTCCTGTGACTGATGTATTGTCACATAGGATGTTAATAACTTGGCTTTCTGTCTGTGTGTGTTTGTGACACTGTGGAAGTGTGTTTTGAAGTTGTTGGTGTGTGTGTGTGTTTGTTAAAACTATACACTGTAATGCAATAAGTTATTTTAATTTAAAAAACAGATTTTATCGATACATTTTAAGTAACACAAACTCTACAGATTTCCCTCTGACATAAAGTCGAAGTATTAAGTAGTAGAAATCAAATTTGTACTTAAGCAGACTACTTAGCTACTTCCCACGACTGCTCAAACAAGATACTTTACTGTCAACCAGGTTCAGTGAAGTGCAAACAGTGGACAACAGGACAGGAAGGGGACTACAGAGCTCAGCACAGCTGTACTGAAGCTTTGCAAATATTTTCATCAAAACTTTAATTTGTAATGTCTTGAGTTTCAGGTTGTCGGTATGCCTGCAGTCAATGTGTCCTCCAAGAGAGTTGAGATTTAAAGACTCAGTTTTAACGTTATTTTACCTTTATGTCAACAGAACAATGCTTTTCACGGACCTTGTCACTGGATAGGTGCACTGTATGAAATGATGCTTTAAATCAGCTGCAAATGGTTTTTGATTTGCACCAAATTTTTGAATATAACTAAAAACCTACATTCTATGGGGTGCCCAGGTAGCTCATTTGGTAGAGTTTGGTGGCACCCCATGGACCAAGGTTGAGTGGCTGCTGCAGCGGCCATGGGTTCGAGTCCAACCTGTGGCCCTTTACTACATGTCCTTCCCATGTTTCTAGCATGCAGAGGTGGTAGACGTATACATTTACTCAAGAAAAAGTATACATATTTATATATATATATAAAAAAAAGAGACTGGTAAAAGTCGAAGCACTGATTGAACTTCTATACTCAATTCAATTCAATTCAATTCAATTCAGTTCAATTCAATTCATAACCGAAGTTATCTCAGGACACTTTTCAAATAGAGCGGGTCTAGACCGAACTCAAGTAAAAGTGAAAATGTACAGGCTCTGGAATTAACTCAAAGTATAAAGTTCTCTCTTGATTTCTCTGGAGGACATTTCTACAAGCTGTTTCTGTGCAAAGCTAACTAAAACTTCAAACAAGTCTCCTTCACTTGTCTGTTAGGACTTGTTACATCATTACAAAGTTTTTATCATGTTGCATCTGTCGTGTGTGATATGCAGCAGTTTTGATATTGGGAAGGCGTGCAATGATGAAAAATAAAATAAAAAGCGTTTTTAAAATAAAAATAAATAAAACTAGTCCCTACCTCTATGATCATGCCAACAGTATTGCACCTAAAATATGATATATTGGTTATAAAAGCATCCTAAAATCAAACAGAGAGTTATATCTGACCGGACTCCTGTTACTAAAACTGCAATTTGAAAAATCTGCTTTTAAAATGACACAATAGTGAAAAGGAAACTACCACCTCTTAGTGACAGAAAATATACCTGCTCAAGGTTGCAGTAGCTTTCATGGACAAACATTTAAAACACTGAAGTTGACTGCTTTTCTTTTATTAACTGTAAAGCAGTGTAAAGGTACATACTGAAAAAGCTGCAATGTAAAAATGTATTTGGAAAATAATGAATAATGATTTTCATTTCTTTTCAGGAGGAGCAACATTTGACCACATGAGGGTGCTCTGTGCTTACTGATCTGCTCTGAACTCATCATAAGCTTCAGAAAAACACACCTTTTCCAATTTTTTCCAGGTCTGTGCCTGGCATACCTTTAACTTTATTAAACCACTGGGTAACAGGCAAACAATGCAAACAATAAAGAGCCATATACGTATGTACAGCACATTCTGTGTCTCACTGTGTGTCAGGTTCAGCTGCAGTACCTTGAATCATGTCTCTGATTCTTTGCACATCTGCCTGCAGCGCTTTATTAGAAGGGTCCATTTTTAGAGCAGCTTGGTAGTCTTGGAGCCCTGAGAAAACACATCACAGGTATATCAGCTGACATCACACAGGTGGACATGGTCACCAGCCAATCAGTCAACACTCTGAAAAACATGCTAGTTATGTATTGTTACTCCACCATTATGTCTTTAAACACAGGGAAAAGTGTTGATGTGAATGCTTTATCACTGTAAGTGTATAATTAAAAGCCAAATGTAGTAATATTGTCCAAATAAAAAAGACTAACTGTTCGAACCTTCTGCATAGAGCTGCAGCTGGCAGAAAGCAGATCCTCGGCGGACTTGGGCTCGGATTCTGGCAGCTGCATTGGCAGCGACTGGTGGAGTCAACAGATCAAGCGCCTGCAGAGAAACATGATGTTTATTCCTGCTGTAAAGGTCCAATGTGTAGGATTTACTGGTACTGGCAGACTGCAACTCCCTTGCTTCACCCTCCCCTTCCAAGCAATAAAGAGAAACTACGGTGGCCACGAAATATGTGGATTGTCCATTCTGGGCTACTGTAGAAACATGGGGGATTACATGGGAGGTGACATTTCTGTAGATAAAGACAGCTCATTCTAAGGTAACAAAAAAACAGGTGATTAGACACTAATACCTTAAAACATACCTATGGAGGAACCTGATTGTTTCACAGATTATCTGTCTCATGTACTAATGTCGGGATACAGTGATAAGTTTCAGCAAACATGATAAAAACAGCAGACGTCTGTTGCCTCTCTTCTTGTACAGAATAACCAGTTATTATAAACCAAGTTAGACAGCACCATGCACAGCACTGACCTGAGAGGAATCCTCAATGGCCTTGTGAAGATTTCTTAACCTCAAATGACACGCAGCCCTGTTTGAATACAGAGCTGGGATCTTTCTGTTGAGCCTGATGGCCAGGTTGTAGGCGTTCACTGCACCCAGGTAGTCCCCGGCCGCAAAGCATTTACTGAAAGAAAGAGTCGCTTTAGAGATTAAGTGGTTCAGAAAATAGAAGTACTGTAAAATAGTTTGGACCTCACTTACTCTCCTTTGTCCTTCAGCCAGTCAGGGTTCCGCTCCTCCTCCTTCAGGTCCTCCAGCTCTTCTACATCTGCATATACTGCACGCCTGGCTTCAGCTTGTTTCTTCAGCCACTAGTGGTTTATAATATAAAAACAGCATTTTAGCATCATTTTAGCTTATGAACCTTCTTAGTGCTCATTCCATCCACAAGGCATATGATGGCTAATAGTGATGTGCCATTTGTGAACAAGGCTCCTTTAAGTCAACCACAGGCACTGGTTCCCAACTTTTTTTTTACATAAATGAATGCAAGACAGGGTAATAGTATGATCCTATAACGTATTTGTTAAATACATTTCAGAAACATTTCAATTAGTGATAACATTAAAACACAAGCATGGTGAGATACAAAACATAGTTCAATATAAATAAAACCTTCAAACAACATTTCTTACATTCTTTAAGCTGCAGTAGGAAACTTATTAAATTAAACTTATTTTTTTTCATATTTGCTGAAACTTTCACTTTATCCTGACAGTAGTAATGAGACAGATAATCTAGGCTCCTCATAGTGCTCCTAATGGTATTTGCAAGAATCCACTGGTCCTGAACAAAAACAACCAATCAGAGTTGAGGAAGATATAAAGGTGGGGTAGGAGGAGGGGTTGAAGAGAGTTGATTGTTGAGTCTCACTCCCAGGGCTCAACAACAATCAACTATCTTCAACCCTCCTACCCAAAACAACAAAACTCTTACCATCAACAACACAAAAGAACTGGTGGCGACAAAAGCTGACTGTTGCCTTGGCCAAAAAGTGACACTAGAACACATTGCACTGACTAGCAAATGTTCAACTAGCACGTACATTTTGTGTCTGCATGAGAGATAATAACTCTCAATATCAGTAGTCTGCATTCATCATTCAAAAAAGAACACTGGAAGACCTAGGTCTGCAGATATGAACAAAAGTAGCCCTATGGATGTAGACTGGATGGATTCATAAAACAGCAGCTTGTTGCTAAAAATATTCGCATATTTGAGTGAGATGAGATGAAATTGAAAAATGAGATTGATCCTTTTGTGTGTGCCCTCTTGACGAAGTCAAAAAGTCCCCCCTTTGCTCACTTCCATTTCTCTTTCTCTTCTTGCTAAAGCTGAACAAACAGAGTGATATATCTCCGATGGCCTCTGCCGCGATTCAACATAATCAGACGGCCTCAAATATCCGCAGACGAGTGCCAGCGGTGCGGAACACACTGCAAAAACTGGGACTACGGATGTTCACAGACGCCACAACATTAGCCAACCGTTGGTGAGCTGATTTATTGCTGAGCTGAGCCAAATGATCTGGAACACTGAAAAGAACAGTTATTCCTATCACTAAAGGACTCTCACCTCTTCCTCCTCTGGCACTCTGGATTCCCTGAGGGCCGTTGGGAAAACGCGCGGGGTGAATGAGACTTGAATGTTTCCAACAAGTCTCGGAGCAGGCAGGTCCACTTGTTTTATCTTGCTCTTCGCTTCCCTGTTGCCTCTTTGATCTAAATGCAAGGATATTTAACGAACAGTGTTGGGCGGTAAGGCATTACTAGTAATAATATCACAGTAAAAATATTACTTTCTCCAGTAACTAGAGTGTAACTAATTACTAATACATTTTAGTAATAATATTACCGTATTAAAGCTGCAGTAGGTAACTTTTATAAAAAATAACTTTTTTTCATATTCACTGAAACTTTCCTTATATCCCGACAGTAGTACATGAGACAGATAATGTGTGGAAAAATCAGGTTCCTCTGGCTACTCCTAGTGCTCCTAATGGCATTTACAAGAATCCACCAGGCCTGAACAAAACAACCAATCAGAGCTGAGAAAGATATAAAGATGGTTTGGGAAGATAGTTGATTCAACGATCAACTGCCTTCAAGCCTCCAACCCAAAGAAATGGTATAAGACAACCTGGGTATTAAATTTTACAATCAACTATCAACGTTACCCACTGCAGCTTTAACCCAACCCCGGTAATCCAATTACATCCCCGGATTCATTTTTGTAATCGTGCATGTCACTAAGCAGGAAACAGGCTTGGAAGATGGAAACATTCAGCGGCTTGAAATATTCCCATTACTGTGATTTTATCAAACAAAACTGTAATAGCAAGCGACAAAGAATGAATTAAGCTTGTGGTAGGACGATGTGGTGGTTTGACTCTCCGTTTTCCAGAAGGATTCTTGGGAAAACACCAGTCACAGACAACAGAACTTAAGAAAACAAAAAAATTGCAACACAGACTATATCTCTAAATAACAGAAGTTGTTTAAAATGTTGTGTTTGAAGCCTAGCTGCACAAGGCGAACGAGCAAAGTATGAATTTTGGGGAGAAAGGACACAATTACCAATGTATTTGCAGAAAAGTGATATAATTAATAGTGTAACTAATTACTGTTGGCGCAGGGAGTAATAAGTAAAGTAATGAAATTACTTTTGAAAAGAACGAGTAACAAGTCCAACACTATGTAGGAATATGCTAAAAACTAACTAGTGTAGGAGCACATTTGATGACTTGCCCAGTTTGACCTTTCCTCCATCTGAACATCCAGGTTCCTGCTTCGCTGTCATTTGGTTGGGACTGTCTCTCGGACTCTGGACTTTTAGTTCTTCCTTCTGCCTCAGCCGCCATGCTGCCAGCTCTGCTGTGGTTTTCTCTCGTTCAGTGTCCTTAATTTTCTGGATCCTGTCTCTTTCCTCCTGTTCATGCTGACGTCAAGTAAGACACACTATATGTAAATCCTTCTAGATCACACAGCAGGTTCAAATTGTAATTCCGGACACTTGTTAGTCTGATTTATGAGTAGATTGTAGATTTACCTTCATCATTGTCTCCAATGCATATTTTTTCTCTGTGTGCTCTTTCTCCGCCTTGGATGTGGACTCTAAAGAAAGCTTTTCCTGGTATTTCAACAGAGCCCTTTCTCTCACCTCCTTCTTTTTTTCTTTATCATCTGGAACACATTGACTTATGTTAGATTAAATGTGTGTAAAGGTATATGGTACTTTTAATCAGGTCGAGCAGACATTAATACGGTGGCCGACAAGGGCAAATGCGCCGCAAACGGCGAAACGCTTCAAACACAGGAATGATGCAAATCCAAAAAAACACAAACACATAAAACAAATGCAACAGAAAAACGCAGCAACAGAAAAATGCTGCAATCACAGAAACGAAGCAGAAGCACAAACTTACAACCTCACAAAACAAATGCAACAGAAAAATTATGCAAATTTCAAAAACACACAAAACCCCAAAACAACTGCAAGATATAAATGCTGCAAATTCGCTTGACAAAACGGAAGTGCACCAGACCACTAGGGGGACCCGACCTGAGGGATGGACCAGTCCTGTGGGACCAGACCCAAAAGACATGAAGAAGAAGAACAAGAAAGTTGGCTACGTTTTGAAGAGAAGAGTAAAAAGGTACGTTTTCCTTTATGTCTTTTTTAAACACTTGGCCATAATCTTTTATAATATTATAATATTATATCATCCACCATCAAAGTTGCCCAATACCGAACCATTGATCCTGCTTTGCTGTTCCAACGGTTCCTGATCCTATCGAAAACTGGACAGTTTTCACTGGAAGATGTAATGAGCCATGAGCTCTGCTCATTTCCTGCAGCCCTGTTCGAAGGCAAGGAAATCTTCCGTACAGCCAACAAGCCCCAACTAGCACAGGCAGTCACTGAGCTCTCAAGCAAGAAATCTAACAAAACTGTCCTGGATTCCATCCCACCAACTGAGCATTATGTCCTTGACGGTGGCTCCCTGGTTCACTGCTTGGCATGGAAAAAGGGTGACAGTTACGGTGCCATTGCACAGTCATATGCAGGCTTTACCATACGCCATTATGGTACAGCAACAGTCATTTTTGATGGTTATAGCGAAGGTCCTTCCATCAAAGACAATACGCATCAGAGACGTGGTGAAAACACTGACCCCATCGTTAACTTCAATGCAGACACTGAGTTTGTGGGAAGAAAGGATGATTTCCTTTCCAGATCTTGTAACAAACAAGGACTTTTCAATCTTATGACCGAGGAGCTGGAGAAGAAGGGCTGCACTGTTATCAATGCATCAGGTGATGCAGACGTGGACACTGTCAAAGCTGCAGTCAAGGCCTCAGAACATCAGCCCACAACCTCGATAGGGGAGGAGACTTACTCATTCTTCTCCTCTACTATGCTGGTACAAACAATAAAGTCCAAAGCTACTAAAGTTGCCTCTTTGCGCTACAACCTTTTTAGCAAGTAAATCGTTACTGCCAAATCATTTGTTACCCCAGAACGTCTGCCTCCTGTCCTCAACCAAATACCACTGCCAAAGAGTTTACTTCCAGATCATGGTGTGGATTGGAAAGGAAGGTGACATGAACACAGTGGATTGGGGATGGAAACTGGTGGACAACCAGTTCCTGACAGTTATGACCAGTAAGACTGCTGCCCCAGAAAGCCTCCTGCAGATGATCCACTGTAATTGCACAACTGCCTGCCGAACACAACGGTGCAGTTGCAGGGCATATAGACTACCATGCATGCCCGCTTGTGGACCATGTCAAGTTGGGAATTGTGAGAATCACTATAATCAACCTCTATGGGAGGAAGAGTGTGAAGACTAATGGTAATCGAGTGAAGGTCACAGTGCAAAAAAGTATAAAAAGTAAACAAGAATAAGAGGAAACAACTGAAGAAAATATAAAAGATATGTATAAATAAGAAAAGTATTAAAATATATATATATAAAAAACAAAAGGCAAAAAACCCAAAATGCATTATAAAAAGTATAAAAAGAGCCTTCCTGTGGCAGCCCTGTTTTGACTAATTTTACAGTACCACACAGTTCTAATGAATTTATTCTTTATTGGAATCAAAAGACTGGTTATGAACCACAGAAACCACCAACACTAGGCAAAACGATATGAGAAAGGAGAAATATGCAACTACTTAAGGGAAATTGTACCTATTTTTCGCATAAATATGCTTTTAAACCAATTGCTTTAATATATAATTGTACTTGTAATCACTTATCTATCATGTAAATATGCTAATTAGAATATTACATGGCCAAAACATGTATTAGGCACCAGTATTCCATGTCTAGGAGGAATACAAAGGAGTAATGGTCATTTTAAGGACCTGACTATGGGCTGATTGTTGTGTCAGTAGAAACTGAATCTGACTTGCTCAACTTGAATAATTGCATTAAAAACCTGAATTTGAATTGCATAATTTGAATTTGTATTGTTAAACTTGAATAACTGTATTGAAAAACTGAATCTGAATAGCATCATTTGAATTTGAATTTATTAGTTTGAAACTGAATTTGAGCCTCACTAAAAATTCAACTTTTTATGTTCTTTCAAATTCAGTTCTCTAAATTCAGTTTCAGTTCTCTAAATTCAAATGTCGTAATCTCAACTCAACTTTAAACCACTAGATTACCCTTTTAAGGTCACAGACGGGTCAAGGTGTTCAGTAAGAGCAATCGAGTGCAGATGCACAGAGCTCCTTTTTGGCTAAGCAGCACGTTTGTTTTGACCATTTCCTGGACCTGTAGACATTGGCTAGAGAAAAACATGATTAAAGGAGACATATTATTCCCCTTTTCAGGTTCATAATTGTATTTTGTTTTTTTTATTTTGGTTTCGTGTGTGAACCACTTTGTGTCGGACTGTTTTCACAACCTCGGTCAGTACAACAGTGGACTGGCTGAAAGACTGTTCCTGAAAGAGGGATTGTACCAACTGTCTGTGGAGAGACGGCAGAGGAAGAAACTGGAAGGATTTTTAAGAATTGTTATCTCAGCTAGCGTTAGCTTTGTTCTTCTGCTTCGTTCAGGTGTGTGTAAATACATGCAAAAAGCTGCTTGATATGAAATTTTTAACTTTGCACAGTCTACACTGCCTTTGAACTGTCCAAACTTTACTACCTTCCCTGTCACTCATTCTCCTCACCTTTCCAGTGTGTAGTCTCTGTGACTATTTCTCTCCCACAGTAGCTCTCTCTTTACCTCCGGTACATTTACATACAGCACCCCCCCCAGCATGAGGCTTGGTGATTCTCTGTATAAACTTAGAATAAACTTTGTGTGAATCTCTATAAAAATATCAGCAGGGAGAATATGGAGACATCTGCACCAGCTGGCTTAATAAATGAACCTCACCTTAAAAGTTTCATTTTCATCTTGCAAACATTTAACAAACATTTAACAAACAATAACTACGTTAGCTTCACTGAGGCTCCTGTAGCTAACAGCGGTTAGCATGTGCTAGCATTACACGAACAATAAAAACAGCATCAATTGTTAAAAACACTTCCAGTTTCTTCCTCTGCCGTCTCTCCACAGACAGTTGGTACAATCCCTCTTTCAGGAACAGTCTTTCAGCCAGTCCACTGTTGTACTGACCGAGGTTGTGAAAACAGTCCGACACAAAGTGGTTCACACACGAAACCAAAATATAAAAAAACACAAAATACAATTATGAACCTGAAAAGAGGAATAATATGTCTCCTTTAATCATGTTTTTCTCTAGCCAATGTCTACAGGTCCAGGAAATGGTCAAAACAAACCTGCTGCTTAGCCAAAAAGGAGCTCTGTGCATCTGCACTCGATTGCTCTTACTGAACACCTTGACCCGTCTGTGACCTTAAAAGGGTAATCTAGTGGTTTAAAGTTGAGTTGAGATTACGACATTTGAATTTAGAGAACTGAAACTGAATTTAGAGAACTGAATTTGAAAGTACATAAAAAGTTGAATTTCAGATTCAGTTTCAAACTAATAAATTCAATTGATGCCATTCAGATTCAGTTTTTCAATACAGTTATTCAAGTTTAACAATACAAATTCAAATTATGCAATTGTACTGGCCTCGCTAAACGTAAACACAAATAAAAGTACCTTTTAGCTCATATTGCCTTTTTTCAATCATTTCCAAATCCAAATGCAACACATACATCGTTTTCTACTGAGCATGAGCCGCTATTACATGGAAAACAAAGGAATCTACACTTCGTAGCAACACATTCATTTCCTTCTTACATATCCCAATTCTCTTAAGAAAACGGCTAATATAGAACACCTTATATTACACACAGCGTTACTCACCGGCATCGCCCCCGTAGGAAACACGACTGTGCGGGGTTTGATGAAACTTGTAAGAGGAATTGACACAACACAGAGCACAACTTGGTCTGGAAGACTGAACACAAAACTCGTTCAAAACGAGAATACCATCGGAAATAGAAACCATACACCAAAACCTGCCGTTACTGCAAGTGGCCAATAGATGGCGTTAACGCACTGTAAATGACCAAAGAAAATCTCACCAAGAAACACAAAATGAATGAATGGTCATTAAGACCAACACAGCAATTCAAATTCAGTTTTTTTAATGCAATTATTCAAGTTGAGCAATTCAGATTCAGTTTCTACTGACACAAATATCAGCCCATACCTGACGGCCGCCATTTTGTAAATGGGGCCTTTCTTGGAGTCAAACTTAGGTAAACTTTTAGTATGTTTTTAAGTACATCTGATACTACTGTAAACCACTGAGAAACCTTTTGTTAGAATTTTTTGGGGGTCAAGCCATATTTGCAGCTGACTATTATGTGTTGGTGTGTTTTTGGATTTATATCATTCCTGTGTTTGAAGCGTTTTGCCGTTTGCGGCCACCATACATTAACCTTACATTTACACCATCATTTGTATGGCCTGTGATTCATTTTAAAGCTGCAGTAGGTACGTTTTATAAAAAAACGTTTTGTCATATTTGCTGAAACTTTCACTATATCCTGCATCTGTATTTGACGACCTGGGAACTCAACAACTATTTATCTTTCTGAGCTCTGATTGGTTGTTTTTGTTCAGGCCCGATGGATTCTTGCAAATGCCATTAGGAGCCAGAGGAACCAGACTGTTTCACAGATTATCTGTCTCATGTTCTACTGTCAGGATATAGTGTAGTATAGCTTATAAAAGTTACCTAATGCAGCTTTAACTACTGGTAGCTAGGCTTCCTGTCAGGCTTTCCTGTCAGAAACTGATGTACAATAAGAGGACGTAATCTAATCTCAGTCGACTGACATTTCTGGAGTGTTTCTGAGACTGTTTTTTTAAAAGAAGAAAAAACAGTGTTGTTGAACTGAGCAACCCTGAGTGGTTGGCAGACCTCGCTCACTGGCTATCTGAACACACTGAACTAAAGCTTACACGGAAAAGATGGTTTAGCGAAATGACTACAAGGGCAGATAAATGCTCTTACTTGTAGTTATCATCAGATGATCCCACACTTTGTTGGTCCTCTTTGGCAAACTGATGACTGCGACTCCGTTCCCAACCTTCGCCGTGCTCCTGACATCATCAACAGGTTCGAACAGGAAGGCTTCAAACAGATACGGCGGGAAATGCACCTGTACAGGATACCAAGAGCAAGAGATTGGATGTGGTAAAAACATCATATTGCGATTATTTTGACAGATACGGTGATATGATTCATGATTAGTGGGGGCATTATAATTGTTTGTGTAGGCCATCTCTGCAGCACCATGGTACTTCATTATTATACTCACATATTTTACCTTTATCAAAAAATTGCAGTTTCTGTGATTTGCATATTGCACTTGCTCATATTGCGGTTTCGATGATGTGATTAATTGTGCAGCCCTAATTTAATGCAAGCCTTATCCTTTTTATGTTCTTTAGCAAGACAGTAACTCTAACATAAATATAAATACACTTTCTAAATATCTAAAGAATGTCCTCCCAATATATTAATAGAAATACAAAAATATATAAATGTTGTACTGTAATATGAACACAAAAAAATAAATTGTGCATGCACCGTAATGATTAGCAAATGTAATGGTAATTATTATTATTATTATTATTATTATTATTATTACTACCGGTTCCACTAGTACGCTGTACTGGTTTTCTGTACTCATTTGATTACTTTAAAATGTATTCAAATGTGTAGAAAATATCCAAATATTGATTCCACATTGTGGAGGCCAACAGGAGGCAATACATGCATATCTAAAATGAATCCCATGTGTTAGTGGATTATCTTTAGAGTGGGGTTCACTCACAATAACAGACACATAAAACGGTGTGTGACACAGGTTTATTGTCATTAACTGTACCTTCAGGTATTCGTCTGTAGACAGGATGTCCACTTTCCCCACTTTCGCTCCTTTCAAAGGCACGCTGATGTGGACCGTGGACTCTGTCTGTGTCCAGCAGTAGTCTGTCACTAGCAGAGGCATTTGGCGCACTCGTCCCGCCCGCAGCAGTGCCGCGGCTACTTTACGCGAACTTTAAGTCAATGACGGCTCACTAATTGCGCACAAATATCGACGTAATCACGTTTAAAAGTAACTTGTGCGACAAAAGGCAAAAGGTCGTGAACTGGTTCTTCTGCCGCATAGCGTCGTGTTGCTATGGTGACGATGATGCGGCACATCATGCTGCCTTCAGGCTCCTCGGCAAAATCTGAATTGAGAGCTCTAATCAATTCCACTAGAATATAACACGCTAAATGTACAGTAGAGATATGGCACATGAGAGCGAGTTGGCTTTCTATTCGCATGTTCCGACTGTGGAGTTAAAGGGACATTAAACGGATAAGATACGGCCATCTCTCGTTGTTGTTGCCTCATTCAGATTTGTAAAACCTTCATTCTTTCTGAAACAATAATGGGATATGGTCCTATCCCTAAAGTGGCTTTAACAAAAAAAATGATTACATTCTCTTATTTTACATTTTTTTCCAATTGTAAAATTGTGAAGCTATTACAGCTATTATGTAGCTATTACACACCAAATAAAAAGACACGTTTTAACATTTCATTAACTAAAATATGAGTCATATTGTAATGAATTTATGTTTGTGCCTAAGCAGGCCAATAGGCTACTAGAAACCGTAGGGAAACTGAAACCTCAGAACAAACAACTCAACTAGATCAGATAAAATGACAATCTTTATTTTATAAATGTCAGCAGGGATTTGGGGAGTTTAACTCGGCAGGAGAGCAACCACAACCAAACCAAACCAACCAAAACTGACCACACTGTAAAAATGCACACAAAACCATCTGAAGATGCACAGACCTCTTATCGGAGCAATTCACTACAAACTACACACACACACACACACACACACACAGTAGAGCCACACACACCGCTGGGATAGGATATAAAAAGAATCATAACACTAATTAAGAAATAATATAGATACTCACCTATAATGCCCTAATAGGGTGACGCTACCAAATATATATGTTTAAATGTGCAATAAGGGTATTATATAGGAGGTAATTAAAAATGTGCTATTTTGCACACATTTCAGAACAGAAATCCTAACAAAAGTAATACCCCACTTCTGAATAAGGATAGGAATAAACCTGGAGAATATGAGAAAAAACTCCTTTTCAGAAAAACAGAGCCTGTAAACACTGACTATAAGCAGACTGAGTGGGACTACAAACGTGTTTTTATTTTAGTCTTTGAGTGACTGAAGTGTATGATACTGTGCCACTACGCTTTGCTGGTGATGGCAATAATAAATGAATGATCAATTAAATAAATGTATGAAAGTGAATTAGATCAGTGGTTCCCAACCTGGGGGTCGGGACGCCTATGATGGGTCACAAAGCTTCCGGGGGGGGGGTCGCAAGACCTTCTTGATATTAAAGGGTGTAAGAAAAATAAAAAAAAATATACACAGTATGCCTATATCTCAGCATTTGGTTCAATTATGGGAAGAAAAGTACATTTAAAGTAAAGTAAATTGTTGAATAGAACAATGGCTGATATGAAATACTCATAAAATCAGTCACTGAGTCAGGGGTTGTCAGTTTACTAAATGACAGAAAAGGGGTCTGTTAAGGTCTAAGGTAGGGAACCACTGTATTAGATCATACATCAATAATAGGCTAATCATGTTTTCAGAGGAACTCCTGTGTTATTAAGTAGTTCCCACCCTGCAGGTGTACAAAACTGCTAGAACGTAGGATACATGGAGCTGTTTTAGCAGGTAATGCCTCCCCCTCTTCCGCTTCATTCTACTTCAGTTACGTCAAGAAGGGAGAGGATGCTGAACCCTTCAGCATATTCAAGCCATTATCAGTTATAAATGACAATGACTTTTACAGTTACAATTGTCGTGGAAATTCTTCCCAAACGTGAGAGGTGCTAAGTCTCTGAAGAACTTTCAAGCCGGTGTGATAATCAAGTCACTTTAATTCATGCTGCATGGAGAGAAGGTCACGTCATGGATGTTCTCTCCCGACTTCCAAAATGCTCTCCCTTATATACATTTCAGTGCATCTCATTACATCACAAACAATGAAACCCCCTGTGTGTCTTGCAAATGTTACTCCTGTAAATCCAGGTCTCTCTCACCAAATGGTCCTTTGATGTGTGACTTCCCCCTGGCTCTTCCTATCATAAACTCAACCTTTTGACCAGGGGCACATCTATTTTATTACCCCCAAATCCTGTTTCTCTCCCACATTCCCTCCTTTTGACACAACGTGTCAACTAGACACAATATTTCCTTTAAACATTTTAACAAGATTACTAATAACAATACAAAAGAAACAAAAAGAAAAATCAAAAACACATTATATCCCTCTGACTATACCAATACTTCATCTTCATCACTTTCACTGTATGGATTTCCTGGGGCCCAATCTGCTATGGTACAACATTCTTCATTATCATTACTTTGTTCCAAAGGTATTTTCACATAGACTGGTGTAATTCCTCCTCCAATTACCCCCCTATCCATCTGTACAGGAGGGCTCGCATACATATGAGTGCACATCTGTTCATGGTGAGAATTGTAGCCACAACTCTAATCATTTCCCAAACGGGAGGTTGTCTCCTTATCAGGGAAAATTTTGCACTGGGATGCATGGATCCACGTGTCCCTCTCAGCTATCCGGACAGCGGTTGGTGTTGTCAACAGCACTTGATATGGTCCTCTCCACCGGGGTTGATGCCAGTGTTTCCTCCTCAGATCCTTGACCACTACCCAGTCTCCTGGCTGGATGTTGTGCAGTTGGTCAGATGCAGAATCAGGGAGGGCAGCTTTTACCTTAGGAAAGATAAGCTTCAGAACATGGTTAAGTGCACAACAGTATGTTACCATTTCGTCATCCATCCCAGTCAGAGTTAACCTATTTTGAGGGAAAGGAGTGTTAGTCATTCTCATGGGTCGGCCAATGATTACCTCATGTGGTGATAGGCCAGTTGTCTTGTGTGGGCGGCCTCTCATAAACATTAAGGCTAAAGGCAGTACCTCAACCCATGACAACTTTGTTTCAGCCATTAACTTGGTTAACTTTGTTTTTATGGTCTGATTAGCCCTTTCCACTGCACCTCCACTAGCTGGATGGTAAGCACAGTGTGTTTTGAGGTTCACCTGGATGCTTTCTGATAAACTTTGAATGATACGATTCACAAAATGAGGACCATTATCACTACTTAGTTTTGATGGAAGTCCCCACCTTGGAATTATTTCCCTCAGCAACGCCTTTGCTACTGAGACAGCAGTTGCCTGTCTACATGGGAAACATTCAATCCACTTTGAAAACATATCCACTATTACAAGGCAATACTTATATCCCCTGCATGGAGTGAGCTCAATAAAGTCCATCATCATGTGTTCAAATGGTCCTTCAGGTTTAGGATGGGCTGATAGAGGTAGTGAAATTCCTCTCCCTACATTGTTCGTAGCACAAATAACACATTTTTTACAAAAGTTTTCAGCAAAAGTAGAAAACCCTGGTGCATACCAAAATTTATTTACAATATCTAACATCCCCCCTTTTGACACATGGTCTGGCCCATGGGTCAATTTTGCCAAGAAAGGGAATATAGACTTCGGCAGTACTGGGAACCCATTGGGGTTTACCCATACTCCGGACATGAGTTTAGTACACCCTTTCCTTTTCCAGAGGGCGTTCTCCCCAGCGTCAGCTCCTGCTTGAAGCAAAGAGACATCATTAAGGGAAAAAACAGCATCCTGGACAGAAAGGGGCATTTGCAAAATAGGGGAGACAGGCAAAAGAGCAGCAGCCTTTGCTGCTTCATCAGCAGACGCATTTCCCTGTGCCACCGGATCAGTCGCTCCTGTGTGTGCCTGGCATTTGCATACTGCAACAGAGACAGGCAGTAGCAATGCAGACAACAAGTTAATGATGAGAGTGCGATGAGCAATAGGCTTTCCTGTGGAAGTAAGAAACCCTCGATTTTTTCCACAAAGTATGGAAATTATGGCACACATTGAATGCATACTGGGAGTCCTAAACAAGGAGGACTAGATAAAGTCTGTTTTAAGTCAGTGAAGGCTTTTTCTGCCTCAGAAGTCCAAGTCACATAGTCATTCATGGCCAGGTGTTTACCCCCGTGAGTGATGTCATACAGGGGTTGGGAGATCTCCGCAAAATTTTGAATCCATGGACGGCAATAGCCTACTAAACCTAAAAATGACATCATTAGTTTTTTTGTTGTTGGTTTTGGGACATCCAAAATAGCTTGAATGCGGTCCGGACCTAATTTGCGACCCTCTGGTGTAATTATATGACCCAGATAACGCACTGATTGCGACACTAACTGCACCTTATCCTTAGAAACTTTATGACCATTATCTGCAAGAAAACAGAACAATGACACTGTATCCCTTTGGCAATCCTCCCTTGTAACTGAACACACAAGCAAATCATCCACATACTGCACAAGCGTACTTCCACATGGCGGCTGCCAATGTGACAGGTTTTCAGCTACAGTTATAGAAAACAATGTTGGACTTGAAGCATAACCCTGTGGCATTCTCGTCCACGTATACCTCTTGCCATTGAAGGTGAAAGCAAACCAGAACTGTGAGTCAGGATGAACAGGAATACTGAAATATGCATTAGCCAAATCAATTACTGTAAACCAACAAGCCCCTGATGGCACTTGTGACATTAATGTTGTAACATTGGGTACAGTCGGTGCCAAATGTTGCACAGCTTCATTTATACCCCTAAGATCTTGAACTGGTCTCCAGGACCCATTTGGTTTCTTAACAGGTAAGATGGGGGAGTTGCATGGTGAGTTAGGGCATTCCACAATGGCATCCTGATCTATTAGCGCCTGAATGACCGGAGCAATGCCCGCAACAGCTTCTGGACTAAGCGGATATTGTCTTTTACATGGTCTAAAAGTAGATTTAGCCTGTACTCTAACAGGGGTTGCTCCCTTTATATCCCCAAAATCAAATTTACTCTTAGCCCACAAACATTCCGGTACTGTTGATAACAATGCTTCCTCTTCAACTGTCAAAGGCATTAGTCTGACTCCATGTATGTGTGTATGTACAGTCCTAACATGATACAGACCCGCAATAACTGATGTTGCTTTTATCCCTGTTGGATTACAATGTACATCAATACTC